AAAGAAAGAAAAGAAAAAGGGGCTAGAGAGATTGTTCAGTGGTTAAGGGCACTTGTTTATCTTCCAGAGGACCTGAGTTCAATTCTCAGCATCCATGTCGAGCCACTCACAAATTCCAGCTAGCCTCTAAAAACGCCCCCACACACATAGCATTTGCTTACACAGACCCACATAAATAAAAATTGTAAACAAGACCAAAAAAGAGCAAAATGTGTTTCTCCATAGCATAGATATTAATTCAGTGAAAGTATATTAACAAACGGAACCTTAGAATATATAAAAAGACCAAGCTGAGGGATACGGATAGGGATGTAATTCAGCACACCTGTACAATGCCTGTACTCAAAGCCAGAACCAGGGGTGAAGGGAGAATAGTAAATTTGGGTTTATTCCAGGAAAACAAAGTGGGTCTAGATAGATGGTGTCTTAGTTAGGGCTCCTATTGCTCTGAAGAGACACCATGGCCACGACAACTCTTATGAAGGAAAACATTTGTTTGGGGCTGGCTTACAGTTTCAGAGGTTTAGTCTATTATCATCATGGCGGGTCACACGGTGCTGGAGAAGAAGCTAAGAGATCTACATCTTGATTTGCAGGCAGCAGAAGGAGACTGTGATGCTGGGTGTGACTTGAGTATATATGAGACCTCAAAGCCCCTACAGTTATACCCTGGAAATCAGGCATGAAAGGTCAAGATTCCCCCAATGCTTTGGGGGTCTGTCCTAGTTAGGGTTGCTATTGTTCTGATGAAACACCATGACCAAGTGCAAGTTGGGGGGAAAGGGTTCGTTTTGCTTACATTTCCATATCATAATCCATTATGGAAGGAAGTCAGGGCAGAAACTCAAAAAGAGCAGGAACAAAGAGGCAGGAGTTGATGCAGAGGCCGTGAAAGAGTACTTCTTACTGACTTGCTCTTCTTGGCTTGCTCAACTTGCTTTCTTATAGAACCCAGGACCACCAGCATAGGGGTGTCTCCACCCACAGAGGGTTGGGTCCTCCCCCATCAATCACTAAGAAAATGCTATCCCAGCTTGCCTCTATCCTGATCTTACAGAGGTATTTTCTCAACTGAGGCTCTTTCCTCTCAAATGACTCTAGCTTCTGTCAATTTGACAAAAAAAAAAAAAAAAAAAAAAAAAAAAAAAAAAAAAAACCCCCCCCCTCCCCTTTTTTTCCCTGGCTTCCCCTCCTCATGCTGTGACAAGAAATTTACAAATGTCTGCTGAGGACAGCAGAAATAATCAATCTCCATTCTTAATCATCTTTTAATTGCTAGCAGAGAATAGAAGACAAACTGAACACTTGAAAGCAATAAGAAACCATATTCAACTTTATACATGTGTTCATACAAACTTGCACATGTAACTTTTATTAAAAGAACATATGCCATCAATGATTGCACTGTAATTCATCCTTGACAGTGACAGGGTACATGCATAAGTAAAAAGAAGTTAATGGGCATATTTTCAGAAATATAAATTTAGTATTAGAGAACTTAATAAGGTTTTATTTAAATGTACACATACTATAAGAAAACAGTTCAAGAACAAAATAATAACAGAACTCAGATTAACATTGCATATTGAGTTACTTCCAATTATATAAACATTATTGAACTAAACATTGACCTTACAGCTCAATGGCCACAGTTAATGAAAAAACTCTACTAGTTATTCCCTATGATGCAAATACACTCATTGATATGATTATTCCTGCATCATAAGCACTGATGCTCATCTGGCATTTGTCCCTTGGTACAGCAAATCTCCAAAGTCCTAGGAGTTTGTTGATCATCATCACAGAAATGAAAGGCACCTCGAATTTTGTGTTATTCAAAACAGTTTCTTTACTTCATGATACTAAATTAGTCATAATCACACCAAACACTGAAATGTGAGAGTTCTATCTGAAACTGAAGCACCACAGTGACAACAGGAAAAGATGTATAAAGCAATAGTAATGAGCTGTTTTTTAATGAACATTGTATTTGTAGACTTCCTGAATGGACTTCACAGAAAAGTATCCTTATTATAAAGGTACCATTTCCTAGCAATATGCCACTATTTTACTATTATTGACAGTATAGCCCAGCATCCAAATAATCCCTGACTCTTCAAAGTTGTTGAAAACATTCTTATCCCTCAACATCACCAACATTACAAATTAGACAAAAAGCAGTTAGCTGGGCGATACACACAATATGAACCTATATACATACAAACATACCAAAAGTTGGCTTACCATTAATTTTTGTCCTTTGATAAAATTAGCACTCATTTATTATCAATATAAATATGGAGGGCAAATAAAGCCACTTGCATTCATCCTGTAAATTTCCAGGAACACATCATACAGACTTCAAATAGTCTGTGACCAATAGCAAAGACCTTCAGAGAGTACAGAAATTTCACTGTACAGGAACTGTTTACAATCAGAGCCGTTTTGTTCCCAAACATAAAAGTCAAAGAAAGTAAAAGCAGAATAGAAGAAATTTTGTTAGTTATTTTTTAAAGGAAAAAGTTTCTTAAAAATTATGGGATTAGTCAATGATGATACTGCTATCTAACTCCAGCTACCCTGGAGGCTAACTCTGGAGTATTCACAAGTTCAAAGTCTGAATAGGCTACATAGTAGGTTCAAGTCCGGTCTGGGCAATTTAGTGAGACCCTGTCAAAATAACAAGGAAAAGAGGGGCTGGGAGCATAGCTATTCTGTGTTTGCCTGAAATTTGCAAGGCCCTGGGTTTAATACCCAGTAACACAAATACACATCACACACACACACACACACACACACACACACACACACACATGGCCTCTGAGCACAAGAAGCTCATAATACATAATAATTGGATGTTTTAAATTGACTAAAAATATATCTACTACATTCCAAATGGGTCTGCCTGTTCACGGTAAAGTATTTGGTGACAGCATCAGAGGTAGTTCAAAAAGTAATCAAAACTATTATTTATTATAACATTCAGAATGAGTGTGTTTATTCAACAAGCAATTACGAATTTAATATTTAATATTGATTACCCAATATCTGCCAAGAATACATAAAAGTCTGAAGATATGGGGGAAAATGCCATTGCTTAGACATGTAAATTATTTACACATATACACACGTGCATATTTAACAAAATATGCAACTGGGAAAATGAAATTATTCCCCTCAATCTGTAGTGTCTATTAAGTCATTTCTGAGTAAATGATGGTGTTCTTTTATATTACAATGAAGACACTTCATATAGTATAGTGTTGCCAGTTAGCGCAATTGTTCAGAGTGTAGTGTAAATATAGAATTTGTGATATGTTGATATTATGTTTAATATTATTTCAACTATTTAAATTTTATTTGGATATGAAGTAGAAATTTTGGACATGAAACAATTGGGTAACAAACATTTGGAAGAGAAAACTTGAGCTTACAGTGGGTGGAGAGATGGCCAGGCAGTTAAGAGCACTCAACTTCCTTGCAGTGAATTCTAGTTTAGTTTCTAGCATGTGGCTTTCAACTGCCTATGTCTTCTACTTCAACGGAATCCAGTGTCTCCATCCTTCCAGGGCACTTGCACTCATGTGCACATACATCCAAACAAACATTCACATAATTTAAACTAACTTGTAAAAGGTCTTTAAAAATTATGGGTATGTATAGCTCAGCAACCACTACCTCCAACATAATTAGGTATTTCCTAAATTTGTCTGAGGAAAAGACTCATCAGAGGAGTCTCAAACTATAATCTCTAATGTTCCCAAGGAAATCCTATGTAGATATACAAATAACGGCAAATTTATCAAAATATATTTTTCCTTGCTTGTGTGTGTGAGTTCACAGCCATCAACTTATGATTTATGTAAAAGTTTTGTTATAGGTATTTAAAATGAAGGAGAACATACCTGTAATCTGTAGCAAAGTATTGGATGTAACACTACAGCAGTCCCTAGCAGACATCTGGGATAAAGTATAGCCAGCATTTATAAAATCAGAGTTTTGTCGAACAAATGTGGCTTGTTTTTGTATGTTTTCATTCTAAGACTTAAAATCTTGGGACGAACAAATACAGAAGTGAATTCTTGAAAAGTATTGGTTTTGCACTTTCTGTCAGGTAAGATCTCTTTGGTTTAAATCATTCGCTTATGGAATCAGATCATCAATCTAGAGCATTTGCTGTACCATACCTAAGTTCTCCTGAACCCTTCAGTTTTCAATGAACAGTGTAGATAATGCAGTCAATCAACAGAAATACAGAGTAGTGACAGAACACTAGGTCACATGCCTGATAAAGTGGAATAAACTTAGCCAGTGCCTTCAAACATCACAATTACTGACATCTGAATAGATTGATGTATAGTAGTTCTTGATCCCTTGACCCCTGCAGCATGCTGCAGGGTGGCAACCATTTGGATTATAGTCAAAGGTGCCCAGTACTGTGAGACTGCCAGCCGAATAGTGTGTGCTGGTGACTATGGTTGTTGCTATTGCTGTGGGGTCTTTCATAGATTCATTTTCATCTTTTCACTCCTTAATAACAGTCTTTTATCTCACATTCCCTTTGTGTTCTACTCAGTTATATACAAATAAAACAAACCCATCTTTTCCCTGTTGGAGATCTTTTTGAAGATTCAAGGGAAGGAAATTATAGTCATCCCTCGGTATCTCTTGTGGACTAGTTACAGCATCCCCAACACCAATCATAAGAAAACCTGAAGATGCTCAAATAGCTTAAAGAAAATTGAGGCAGAATTTGTATATAACTGACCCATATTCCTTATACATACAGTACATTATATCCTTGCTGGGTTACAAGTAAAGTTTAGTACATTATAAACAGTATACTATATTGTTTAGGGGATTGTGCCAAGAAAGAGAAATATGTCCATGTTCCACACAGGTGAAGTTTTTGTGATTATTTTATTTCAACCACAGGTAAGGAGGGACACCTGTACTGTATTTGAGTTACTTGTTTACAATAAAAAGAAAGGTTCCCACAGTCTCTCTTTTCTTGAATTCATTTCACATTTTGCTTCAACCTCCTCCACTGATATATATTGTTTATTTAACACATGGCTGTTCATGGTCAGTATTCCCCTTGATAGACAGAACTCTATCTCTAGAGCTGATTATAAATCAGACAGTGGGTCAGTTCCACTACTAACAGAGGCAACTCTAAAGAGCTTCAGGTTGGACTATGCTGGTTTCTAGACAGGAGAAAGCAAACACAGAAGGCAGTAAGACCCCCCCACCCCCAACCAGTGTGGATAATTTGCTAGCACCACTGGCTTTTTAAACAGAGTCCACCTTTATTAAATTATTATTGGCTATGAGTGGAGCAGGCTTACAATTAATCTTATCTGGCACATCATTTGAGCTGTCTACAGAGAACATCTTGGCTGTGAACAATGAGACGATAATTCTTTTGTATTCCTGTCTGAAATTCTGGTTCAGGAGTCCATATATAATTGCATTGAGGCAGCTGTTGAAATATGCCATGTAGTAACTAGCCACAAACAGCCACTCTGGGATCCTGGGGACCATGTTGGCAGGATCTGAAGCCACAATGAGCCCGATGAAGTTGAGTGGGGCCCAGCAAATAGCAAAAAGTACAAAAACAACAAACATGGTGACAAAGTTCCTGAAGTCCTGTGGCTTCATTCTGGGTTTGCTGTCAGGTTTCACCCTCCGTCGGACCTGAAGAACCAGGATCCAGATTCTTAAGTAGCAGAAGATGACGATAATCATAGGCACAATGAAATGGAAAACCACCACTGCTATCGTGTACGCAGAGCTGACAGACTGCGTGAAGGTACAGGAGTAGATCCGGGGATCATACTGGAGAGTTCCGGTTTGCAGGTTGGGCATGATGGCAACAAGCGTCAACACCCATATCAGGAACACGTAGCAGAGGGAATTCTTGTTACTGTAGAGTCTGTCGTACTTGAGACTGTGGCAAATGTAGCAGTAGCGGTTAATGGCAATCCCGGTAATGTTGAATATGGAGCCAATGACACTCAAACCCATCAGGAACGCACTAATTTGACAGTGCAGATATCCCAGATTCCATCCATTGTTAAATATGGATGTCAGCACCAAGGGATAAGGGTAAATAGCAACCACGAGGTCTGCAACAGCCAAGCTCACCACAAATATATTTCCTAAGAGAGAAAGATGTATAGAACACATGTTAACACCAGTATTACAAGCATTGCATCTTTAAGCATATTTTAAAGATAGGAGGACTGGAAATACAGCCAGTGCAACTGGCCGTGCTAGCTTGAGGACTAGGTTTTGGATTCTCGGAACCCATCCAAAAGTCCTGTGGGCTTGAATGCCTGGCTATAGTCCCACTGAAAGGTAGATAGAGACATGGGATCCCCACATTAGTAAGAGTGGCAAGCTCTGGGTTCAACTGAGAGAGCCTGCCTCAAAAATGAAGTTGTAGAATGATTGAAGAAGACACCAATACCAACCCCATCCACACACCCATGAACTTACACATGCATGCATACAAACAGACATGCAAACATATATACTCACATTCCATTTATATGACCCATCTACTTCCATGTGCTAAAGAAAAGAAGGGAGGAGAGGAGAAAGAGATGACCAGGGCGGAGTTGGGGGCGGGTGGACAAGCTCTTTCCTAAGCTTGGATGACCTGGAACCATGTGGCAGTTGTGAATAAATGCCACTGATAAACTTCAATGTTGCCTTTATCTAGTCAAGCCCACTTTATGAATTTCTGTCTTTTCAGAGCATTCCATTTTCCAAAGCATGGAATTTCAGACTATTTTCTCTTCTTGTGACCATTCTCAAGACCATTACATGTCCATGTGGTCTTTTGTTTGGGATCTCACCTGAGAAATCTAACATCACTCAAGTTGGCCATCTATTCCTAAATTCTAGATCCCTTACCTCTCTGGTTCTTCCAAAGCTTTTAAAGGGCCTCTAGCTTCTTGTGTTGGAGGGCCATGTGTCTTTGTCCTAAGAGAAAAGGGCTCCACCATCACGGATTTGAACAGTGGTATTATCAGACTAGCTATGGAACTGAACAGAGGCACTTCACTTTGCCAAGGTTCCATTCCTTCTCCTATGATACAGAGAGGTTTGATGGTGTCTTCCCTCCTAGTGTCAAGTGAGTCTTAGATGAGGCAGTTATGTCAAACACTGAGAACTGTCTCCAACTCATAAGAAAGTTAATTATGTTCTGCAACTCCCTCCCTCAAAACAAAAGGAAAGACATTCTCTTGCATTTATGAATAACAAGATGAGAACATTAAACCCCACATATTCAGAATAAGTGGTAATCTTCTGTCCTAATTTGATAATGGAACACATTTTCAGTGTGTAGAAAAGGGACTCTAGCTAAATTTTATGAGATGTTCTACCAATACAATCTTTTATTTTTGTGGCTTTAAAGAAACTTAATTTCTTAATATCCCTTCTCTTTTGCGTTGCTTCTCAATCCAGTTTTGAAAATTTTACTAATTTTTTCAAGCCTGTCCTAAATGGACATCTTATTTGCCCAACCAGAGATAAGCAGTTCTCCCTTTGAAGATGCCAAAATTATTTTATTTATACTGCATTTAATTTGGAATGGGAATGTTATAATACATTTCATCCAATAAGGACTTAACAACTGCATATAAAGGGTTCTGGGGAACTGAGTAGGAACAGACAGGAAGACAAAACCATAACAGAATCAAGAGCAAGTTTGATATTATCTATAGAAATTAATAGAATGCTAACTTCAGTGGGGGTTAAGAATAGAATACTTGATCTCATGGGATAGAGAAACATCTCAGGTAGCAAAATGGTTGACACACAAGTATAAGGACCCAAGTTTGGATGCCCAGAACTTATGTAAAAAGTGAGGCATGGTAGCAAATAACTGTAGACACAGTGATGGGGAGACAGAGATAGGTTGGTCCCAAGAGCTCACTGACCATCCGTTTTAGCCAACAGATGAGCTCCAGGATCTGGAGAAACCTTGTTTCAAAATTAAGGAAGAAAACATTGGAAGAAGATGCTCAACAACACCAATTGCCTCCAGAAGCATGCACACATGTATCTGCCCCACATACATGCACATGCCAACACATGTACCATATCACCTCCAACCTCCCAGAAGAACACATGGTCTTAAAATGTCAATAATTATGACAAAATGCTATAGTTCTCTTACCTAGCAGTGTCCTTAAGTGAAAGAAAGGAACAAAGAAAGAAGAAAGGAAGAAAGAAATTTCCCTCCCCAACTCCCCTAAATATAACACAAGCAAACATTACAGCGGGAGGGGACAAAACCACCTGATATAGAATCTCTGGCTTAATTTTTTCCCTAAACATTTGTAAAATGAGATCAATCCAAAGAAAATTAAACTAATGATTTAATTAATGTAGTTAACTGAATAGTAATGAAGCAAAATTGCTGTAAAAGACATGAAGAATCAAAGCCATACACATAACTGCGACGTTGTCTGTGGTTTGAATTTTAAGTTCTTTAAGAATAAGTCTACATTAAGCCATTTTACTTCCTGCCATTCTGGCTTTAAAAGTACTGTTTTGATGCTTAGGTTTTGTACACTATATATCATTTTAAACTATTAAATATTTTTAGCTAAAATGGACTGACTCCAGAATTTAACCATTTCACTTGTAATTTAAAATTATCTGTGGGGAAAAATAATTTGCCATTAAACCTTTCATTTGGACTCATCTCCAGCTTTTCACAAACTTTTAAAGAACCTAGGACAATGGGGCAGAGGGTCCAGTGACTGCTACACAAGCAGAGGACCTGAGTTAATGCCCCCCACACCCCTGTAAAATGCCATGCATGGCTACATACACCCACAGTCCTGATGCTGGAAGTGTGGAGATACAGCATCCTAGAACTCATTAGCAAGTCATTCTAGGCAAATCAGAGAACTCTGGGTTCACTAGGATACTGTGACACAAAAATTAAGGTGGAGAGTAACTAATAAAACTATCCAATGTCCACCTATGGTCTATATACACACGCAGACATGTACTGTACATTTATACATACATGTACACACATGTATGCATATGCATGCATATGTGTAAAACATACAAACATATATACACATGTACCACAAATAGGCACACAAAGAATTTGCTTTAGAGCATTTTTAAATAAAAACATTGGGTGCATTTCTCATGTCATGACTGCTTTTTATCTTCTTTCTTTAATTGTAACTAAAGAAACAGGAACTTTTAGTACAAAGCTTATTTTGTTTCAAATGTCTGGAGGTAATGAAGTAATTTACATGATCAAACCCATGAAAAGTCCCTGTGGGTGCTGTTTGAGATACAAACATGAGGAATGAATACTCTCTATGGGAGACATTCTAAAATGGAGGGAAAATAAGTTAACAAACAAACATGCAAATCTCTGCCTTTGGAGGAGGCAAAAATATGTCTAGCTGAGCCCTGATACCCCCTCCTTCTCCTACCTGTTAGGTGATGAGCCCTGTCTCTGGTCTTCTTCCTGAGATTACAGACATATGGGATATTTTGTTTTGACTAAAATCAAAGGGAATTCTAAACACTGAATAGTATTCCCTTTTAGGGTGCGTGCCCCTGCCCACCATGTTGGAATTTTTCAAGTCATACTGCTAACTAAGGAATTTATTGTACAAAAGTGGGGACATGGTCTTGGAATTCACTAGATTGTTGTTTCCCACCTTAGAATATTGGTTTTGAGGGTTCATTTAAAAACAAACTGGGTCGGGCTAGAGAGATAGCTCAGAGGTTAAGAGCACTGGCTGCTCTTCCAGAGGACCTGAGTTCAATTCCCAGCATCCATATGGTGGCTCACGACCATTCCTTACAAGATCTGGTGCCCTCTTCTGGTGTACAGATATACATGGAAGCAGAATGTTGTACACATAATAAATAAAATCTTTAAAAAAACAAACAAACTGGGTCACCCTGTGGCTGGGATACCCCAGGATGGGATATGAGTGCTAACTCTGTGATTAGCCTATAGTATTATTAACCTCATACCAAAGATTCACTGGTCATAAAAGCAAAGGAGGATGGCATACTAGTGACTCCTTACCAAACTGTTTGCTTCCTGTCTTCTGCCTTTGCAACTTTAGGTTTTCTTGGTCTTATAGACATGTTTATCCTACCAACCTGCAGTCCATGGACCCCATGTATCCTAAGATGTCTATCTGGCCCTTTACCTGTGTGAATTAGAACATCATGCTGCAGTGTCAAAGGCCTGGACAGCTTTGAGAGGCTAAAGGCTTAATTCCAAGGAAGACACACTTCCACCTGCACTTGAGTCCACAGTTTCATTAAACTGGAAACTGAGGCTGACATTTATGTACTTTGGGCTCATCATTTCAGTGACCCAATGGGAGGGGGGACATTACTATCATCAATCATGTTATCAAGAGGGAAGACACATTATCATTATACAAGACCCAGAAAGTATGTATCTTAAAGGTAAGAGAAAGCTGGGAATCAAAAGTACTTAAAAATACTTATAATGATCATGAGACCAACTGCAGAGACGAGCACTAAAATAATTATGAGTATTTCTTGTTTACCATGGTTAACTGTGACCCCATTGACTATTGTTTTCTCTTTCCCTTTGCTATTGTCCTGCCATCTAACTTGTGGTAGAAGTGAAGCCTGTATTTCAGTAATTAAACTATAGGGTATAAATGGGGACTGTGATTCAGTTAGAAAAATAATAAAAGTCATGTAAAGATGGACAAAGACATGACTGTCTTAGGGAAAGAGGTTGGCGTGTTCCAATTTTCTGAAGAGCAGCCACATTTTGTCAGGCAGGGGCATCATTTCAGTATCTCTTTTATTAGAAAGTTACCCTTAGACTAAAAGAAATATCTACTTGTCAAGATGCCACAAGGGGGCAACTGATTTGGTGCTATATTGAGTCTCATGTTCCCAGAATTCCCTTCTCTGTACAGTTATAGGTTAGCATGATTCACAAAAGAATTTTTTACATGACCCAAAAGATGAGAACAAGCTGTCCGCTGTCCTTTTCATAAAGCAGTTCCTCCATGAAGTCTGCTCCGCGAGTCCTATTGCGGACCAGACGCTTAGGGCTCGTTAGTCTCTGTTGCTGAAAAGCAATCTGTTTTGTGCAAGGCTGACTTCTGGCTTGCCTTTGGATAAGTACTTCTGCATCACTTGGAGAAGTCATCAGTCTGACACCGCAGCGTTGGGACCTTGGCTTTAGGCTTTAGTACACGAAGCTGTTACATTAACCCCTTCCCACCGACTATCACAATATTGTCACAATATTGATTCCTGCCTGGGTGCTCTCTTCATAATGCTGGCTGCAGAAGCCCCGCCCCGCCGTAAGCCCTCCTGGATTTCACATCATGGTGGAGAGGGGCATCCTATAAGGGAGAGAGTTGTTGCGCCTGTCTCGGATCCCGTTTGCCAAGAAGCCCCATTTCTCTCTGAAATTTCTGAGGACCACACTCTACCTATGGGCTCACAGCGGCTCTCCAGTGACTGCCCTTGTGACCAGTAACTGATACAGGGAGACAGAAAGCCTGGTCTTGGGCAAAGACAATAATGTGGATGCGATCCCAGAGGATCCTAGCTGTAGATTAAGCTAAGCCAGGCTAGGCTGTACCCGAATCCCCATCTTGCTTATTCTCTCCTTTGCCCAATTCTGCTTTCCTTGCTGCCGTAAAGTTCCTCCTGTCAAGCCCCAGCATGACTGTGAGAGCCAATCCTCTAACTCGAGTTTCCTTCCTAGGAAACGTAAGACAGCCTTTCAGCTCCGTAAAGAACTGGGGTGGTTTTCCCATCTCTGCCGTGAAATTCAGTCCCCGATGTCTGTCTTTCCCTTGAATCCTTTCCTTGCTCTCTTGTTTACTGCTCTGTCAGATTCTCATTGAATTCCAAGGGGGCTTGGAACTTAAGAATAAGATGGTAGCTTCCAAAGATTCAGTGGGGCTATAGAACAGTGCCACCTATGTTTCCCTAATTTGTTCCTTGTAATCATGGGCACCCAGACCCTAGCACCAGGACGACTTTGTAGAAGTCCGAGTTCTATAGAGCCCAACTCTATATGCATGAAAGCCTACTACTATTTTGTTAAGTTTCAGCCGTCGTTATATCCTGAATTATGAACAAGCAGGATGCTGTTGTATTGTTTTATGAAAAGTTTTATTAAGTATAATGTACATATAGAAAAATGCACCAATTCAGAGCCTGCAATGCTGCCCCTAGCAAAACAAAACAATCAAGTCCAAATGTCTGTCTAGCTTTACTTTCTCCACGTTTTTTCAAAGTATTTTCATAGACATCTGTTAGCTTGATACTTGCAACAGTTACAACAGAGCATAGTGTGGGGCTGAAGTTTAGGCATTCTGTCAAAAGTGGAAATTTGGAATGTATGCAGTGAGAACATAACTGCAGGAATCTCTCCACCGTGTTACACCCACTGGACTGGGGATGTATCATTTCTCGAAAGAAAAGAAAAAAAAAAAACTTGGACAGGAAAAGAGCAGATAATCAGTCAACCTTTAGCATCTGATTGGTTGCTTGGAGGCGGTGCAGGTTGTGATTGATCAGCCCCTCAGGTAATTAAATATTGGGGATTTCTTCCTCCAGACACCAAAGGCCATCCTAGTCTCTTGAGAAAAGGAAGAGGTTAAAAATAATTCTGCAATTATACCGAATTTCCAAAGGAAAGAACTATTTGAACGTTTGTGGGCTTTAGCATTCTTAACTCTTTTTTTTTATCTTTCCTGTTTAGAAAAGATTTATATATTTTTATTTTCTCTGTATGGGTGTTTGTCTCCATGTGCGTATGTGTAGCACATACATGCCTTGTGTCCACGCAGGTGAGGAGAGTGTGTAGGATCCCCTGGAATTGGAGGTGCAGATGAACGAGAGCTGACACGTGGGTTCTGGGAACCTAATCTGGGTCTTCTGCAAGAGCAGCCAGTGCTGTTAACTGCCAAGACATCTTCCAGCCTATTTATCATCTTCCCATTTTTAAAACCAACCAAAAAAATTGAACAAATACACAAATTGAGCAGTCATTAAAACATTTATTTTGAGACAGGGTCTCATATGTAATTTTAGTTTGCCTGGAACTCACTGTATAGACCAGGCTGGCCTCAAACTCATAGAGACCCACTTGTCTCTTCCTTCTTGTACTGGGATTAAAGGTGTGCACAGTGACACCTAGCATCAATAAAACTTTTAATAAGCATCTAGTAACATAATTGAACCAGCTATCTTTAGCTCTGATCCAAATCACTATTTTTTTTTCTAAGCCTCAAATGGTTTGAACTCGACAGTGGTGTATTTTAGCAAATAGCCCAATTATAAAAATATGATGCTTTGTGGACTAAAGGTCACCTGGATCTTCCTTATAGCTTTGGGAATGCAGTATATAGACTCTCCGCTCAAGAAGTTGCTTAGCCAATGAAGCCCAGAGCGGTAGGGCAGTTGTGAGTACTTTTCTGAAGCCACTAGGAACGTGAACACTCTTTACAGGAAAGGTCTTGTACCATTCAGACTTCCCGAATGTAAGTTACAGACATGAGTGAAGCAGCGTGGATGGGCTCCAGGCAGAAGCTCGAAGAATCAGCCCCTCCCACCCCAGAACCTCTGAGCTTCATGTGCCCCTCTCTGTAAAGTGGGTAAGTCTGACACCCCACCCTTGTGCTGACCAAAGAATTCTCTGTGTGGGGGTGCTGAGAGCCACATGCAGCCTGCAGAAAGTGACTCCCTACTTACAGGAGGGTGTGTGCTCCCCCGGCTATCCCTTTATTGCAGTGCTGAAAAATCAGACCTAGGACTTTCCCAGTGCTGGGCAAATGCTACCACTGAGCTATTGAATTCTGAAGACAGAATTCTACTTTAAGCCAATCGCTTGTGAAAGGAAGTCATCCCATTTCCTAAGCCAAATGGAAGTCATAGTATTAGATGACTTCAAACTAACTCCTATACTTTGCACAGCCTGAAGCATTTTGGAAGCTAGGGCAAAGGGGGAGGAGAGATATTCTACCTGAATTTGCATCTTCACAAGCTACCCACTTTAGGACAAAAATACTACTTTTGGCAAGTATTTAAATGAATGGCTTCCTCTCTACCATTCTTCCAAAGTTTACTTCCAAACAAGGGACAGAAAACCAAGTCACCCGACACCATTTAAAGATGAAAAGTAGTAGCTCATGAAGAACCTACAGACCTGCTCTTACCCAGGAAAACTGGTTCAACTCATTGCTTGGGGGAACCCCAAATGTAACTCAAATACTGAATTAAGCTTCATCCTACATTATATGTGAATGCATTCCTCGCTACAATGTCCATTTTTAATTTCAGACTTGTTGGCTTGAGGAGTGAAAGTCATTTTGCCCCTCTTCCAGCATTCTTAGGGCCACCCCCTCCGCCCTGCAGTGTGATGCTATTAGCTGAAAAAACCACACCTGACAAGAAAACAGAAACAGCTGCTCTGTCATTTTGGCATCTCCTCATATTTTAGCAAAGTTGGGAAAACTGATTTATATGCAAATCCAAACAACTGATGAGTTCGTTGATCTAATTTGAAAAGGTGTCTTGAGGAATTTACTCAACCGGTACCCTATCTAACGAACCCGAGAATCGGAAAGCTAGCGTGAAGGGAATACTCCTGAAGGGAACAGAAATCATTTAAGGGCTTTCCATCTCGAAGGACTGAAGACTTACGGAAGATCTCTGACATCTTAGAGGAAAGGGGTAAAGAGAAGGTAACCCACATTCTCTAAGAGGAAAGAATAACCCAAAGTTCCATGTCTCAGAGCCCAACTTCCTGAACTTTTCTCGGGGTCCCACAAGGGGGCTAGCGTTGGAAGAGGTGCTGGGAGTCCCTACCTGCGTTCCTGAGCTTCTTGTTGCGGTACACAGACAGGATGACCAGCAGGTTGCCCAGGATGTCCACCACGATGGTGAAGATGAGGATGAAGGCCAGCGTAGAGGCCAGCCACGACGGCCGCTGCTGCCCACCCTCCCCGCTGCCTGGTGCCTGCTGTGAGGCATTGAGTAGACCGCTGCCATTGCCCTTCATGGTCCCCTGGGTGTCTCACCGCAGCGCAGCCAAAGCCATCGTCCTGTCGCTCCGCGCCCCCGAGTGCCTGGCTCTGCTCCCGCCCTCTCCGCCACTTTTTATGGCTTGGCACAGCCCTCCCGCGCCTACTTTGCATCCTTAAGGCTGCTTCGCGGCGGTCCTGCCCCCTCCAGTCCCTCCCCGTGGCCGGACACCCTCTCTGCATTTGGCCGCTGACGCCTGCTGACACCTGCTGTCCACTGCCGGGCATCTTGGACTCCAAAGTCCCGCAGCGCGTGCACATTGCGCCCTCGTGCGGGTAGACTCGGCAAGACGGGTGGAGCCGGCAAGCAGAGAGGAAATGAAGCTTTTCTCCTGGGATCTGGACCCACCCGGCATGCCACAAGGCATGGACTTGAACCCTAACCGGGACAGGAGTAGGTAACTGAGACACCAGATTCCCTAGATTCCTTATCGGCAGAGTGAGGATGAAATAGACTCTTAACTCATCAACTTTACAGTTACTGATGTGTAAAACTAAAATAAAAATGATTAAAAAAAAAAAAAAGGACACCTTTTCGCTTTGACAACAAACCATACAGTATTTTGTGCTGGGTTTTTCGGGTAATTAAACGAAAAAAAATGTAAATATCAGTGAAAACAGGAACACGAGAAGAGAAAGCTGATGTAGAACCACAATGCAAGATTGCTGGGGAATGGATTAGTCAGCTCTGTACAGAAAGAAACAAAACCCCAAGACGTCCTGCGACACAGGAAAGGAGGCTTGCACAAACTAGGAGACATATGATGCCCTCATATTGAACACTTAAAATTCCCATGTTCTTACTATGTTTTATAGGAGCCCAATTCCCAAACATCTCTAGAGTCCTTTGAAGGAAAAAAAAAATGGAAGAAAGGAAATTTGAATAAGATGAATACCAGAAAAATGTGACCTTGCAATATTTAAAATAGACATTAAAAACTAAACAATGAGGCATAGTGGTTTTTGTTACAGCGCTGGAGGCTGAGGCTGGAGGATGGAGTTGCACAATCAGCCAGAGCTGTAGTACAAAGTCCTGTCTCAATAAATTATATTAAGTAAAGCTGTTGCATTCATCAACAATTTCAAGAAGAAATGAAATGCTGGATAGAGGGGCCTGAACACATAGCTCTGCTGATAGAGTGTTTGTGAAATCCTAGGGTCAATTCTCGGGACTGTATAAACAGGATATAGCATCTCAGTCATATAAACCCAGCAACCAGGAGTGAAGGCAGAGGGTCAGAAGTTCAATGTTATCCTGGGCTATTGAGGACAATCTTGGAATGTGTGACATGCTACCTAAACAAAAAATAAAACACAGGTTTAAGAAGGCTACCATTTAAATTAACAAGAACAGGAATACATGCTGAAAGCAAAGATATATTTAGGGAAAACCTAGACAAATGTTTCTATGACCTAGGGTGGCAAAAGACTCTTAGGAAGCATGGGCAAGAAAACAGGACAGAAAACCAGCATGAGTATAGGAAGGACAGTGACGACAGTTGTCACCAGATGAACAAGGGCTTCCAGCACAGCCCTGGGGTAGCTATTTCACATGGGTTATCTTGCACAATGTTCATCTGATGGGGTTTGACATTGTGAGGACCACACATTGGCTCAAACTCCTTAACACTGGCAAGTGAAGCAATATACAGAGGTAAGCAGTTGGCAGTGGGTGGGGCAGGTTTAGAACTTGAGTCCCTCTGATTCCACAGCATCAAATCTCATTTCGAAGTGACAGTATTTCTCAGTAGACTAGAATTGACCACAGAAAAGTCTGACTCCTATAATTGAAAATAGGTATATCGTAAACTACTAAAACACAAATAAACCAGAGTAGTGATATATGCTGTAGCTAAGAATGAAGCATTGGCGAGCATACTGGATATTGTTTATATAATTTATACAATAAATTTATTATATAAATATTTTATTTTATAAAATAATTTGTATAAATTATTCATATAATTATTTATATTAATGTAATTTTTAGTAATTATATAAAGATCTTTTTCCAAGTGAATGAGGGTAAAACCAATAGCAACATGATTGAAGCTCACAGATAGACAACAATTAAAAATGCAGTTAAGAATGTGGGGCTGTCACTGGTAATATAGAACATTCTCAGCATACCTTAAGCCCTGGGTTTGCTTTCCAGAACCATTGCCTCAAGATCAGAAAGGTTCGATATCTGGGAAAATACACAGGGCCTTTTCCTCCATTTTCTCTTTGGAGCTCTTGTAAACTATGTACTTAAAAATAAACAAAACTAAAGATTGGGCTAGAGAGATGGTCCAATGAGCTCCTTTCCCCCCTTTTCATTGAAAATACATTTTTCTTGTACAATATATCCTAATTATGCTTTTCCTCCCTCTACTTTCCCAAGTTCTACTGCCTCCCTCCCATCCCCTCCTTTCTGTAAGACATGAGGTCTTATCCCCAGAACCCCATGAAAATGCCTCTGTGTCCAAATGGGAGCAGACAGGCGAATCCTCAGAAATCCATAGCCAGGTGGTCTGGTGTTCTTACACAAGGTGGAAGGACGGACACCCAAGGCCCATGGTTAGCCTATGACCTCCACACCTGTGCCTTGGCATGTGTGTACTAGCATACATACACACACACAGATACACACTCACACCACACACACACACACACACACACACACACACACACACACACACACACACAGAGAGAGATAGAGCAAAACCTAAAACTGTGCTTTTGACTGATGTGGTTCATAACACATATAGGTGTATTAAATATAGATATTATAGCACTGGAAGACAGTTCAAGTCCTAAAGTAATTGATGCATAAGAATGAGGACTTGACTTCCAACCCCCAGAATCTATGTGAAAAGCCAGGTGTAGGCACACTTAGGAAGATTCAAGGATCTTATTAGTCATATAGCCTAGCCCTAGGCTCCAATGTGAGCTCTTGTCTCAAAAAAAAAAAAAAAAAAAAAAAAAAAAAAAAAAAAAAACAAGGCAGAAAGGTCCTGAAGAACAACACCTGAGGTTGGCCTCCAGCCTCTCCATATACCCTCGCACTCATGTACCCCTTCATACATGAACATATATACATACATGCATACATGCATACATATACACATACACACAAACAGGAAAGCCTGAAAAGTGGGTCACACAAGATGGCTGATGTTTCACATGTATGATTTCTAGAAAGAGCTACAGTGGACAAGAACAGGTTAAGGGTGAATTTGTGATCTTTGGGGTAACCACTGAGACATCGGTTTCTGTGCAAATTTACTCTCCAAGCCACTCTGGAGACCCACCTTAAAAGAATGTCTGAGATCAAAGCCATCCTGAGCAGTCATCTGCTCAGAGGAGATGTCATCTCAGAGGAGGGGCGGGTCTCTAACAGCCAGCAGGGAAAGGAATGAGGTCTCCCTGTAGGACAGGAGGATTTGTCTGCCATAGTACCCTAATAGAGAAAGATGTGAGAAACTGCATCATTAATTTCTCTATGAATGTGGGCTCTGTTGCTCAAAAACTTGCTGAACACAAGTCCTGAATGCTTTTTTTTCCTGCCACAGAGGAAGTTGTGTGATTACTCATCATACACCTGAGCACTGCCTGCTGGGCTCAAATGAAGGCTGATATTGGAATGTGAACATACACACACACACACACACACACACACACACACACACACACACACGAGAGAGAGAGAGAGAGAGAGAGAGAGAGAGAGAGAGAGAACGAGAGACTGTTGACACAATCTATAAGAATTTGCCTGCTGCAAAAGCAACAGAGACTGGTTCAAGATTTAATCAATGTAGTTCTGCCTCAAGGAAACATTAGGTTTCCGTGAGTTCATCTACAGCAGGGCTCAACCTCGTCTTAAACCCCAAGGGGCAACTCTAATTCTTTGATCTAAGTAGGAGTTCTCTTTTCCTAGAGGGCCATCCATAAAGCTTGGATTAGGACTGGGGCCTGACTGTCATGAGCAATTCAATACCAAGGGCCTCCTGAGCCCTTCTGGGAAATTTCAGTAAGTCTTAGTGTTAGTCACCCAGGAAGAATGACAGAAAACGAGGGGCTTTGCCAGAAGGAGAGCAGGTGAAGTGTCTCTGTGTGTGGCTGGGCTCGGGAAGGAGCGCCAATAAATGGAACTAACCAGGTGCAAACACTTCCACAGTTTACAGACAATTGAGTGATGGTACTGGAGGCATTCCCACAGCGAGAAATCCCTTCCCTTTCCACCTCCCAGAAGTTGTGGGTGCCACAGCCTTGCTGCTGTCACCCATGCCAGCAAGGACGGACTGGAGGTCTCTCTCTGTGACCCTTTCATTGAAGGCATAAGCCCACCAGTGGTCCATGAGGGTAGTTACTGTGTTTTGAGCTGGAAATGTACTCACAAAAATACCCTTTATCTTCAGTTGATGTTGGGCAAGCTCCTGCTACAGGTCTACTGTGCCAACATTTAAGACTGTATCAATCACAGTACTTTAGGCCTCTGTGGTGTTTTGTTGTTTGTTGTTGTTGTTTGTGTGTGCACTGGAAATTGAACCCAAGGCTTCTTACGTTCTGGTCAAACACTCTACCACTGAACTATGCCCCAACAAGGTGATTTACTTTTACAAAGAAAGTTTACAAAGTGCGTAGGAAGGCCCCCTAATTTTGAGTTACTCACCAAGAGGAAAAAAAAAAGCAAAAATAAAACAACAATAAAAAATACTATAATAGTTCTGCTTTTTGTTGTTGTGGGCAGGGACTGTTTTGGTTTCTTGTGAGATAGTCTCTCTTGTATCCTTGATCTCAATTTCCTATGTAGGGGATAATAACTTTGAACTTAGGATCCTCCGGCAGAAGCTTCCTCAGGACTGCAGACAGGACTGCACAGCTTTCCGCAGTTCCAGAGATTAAGCCAAAGGCTTCTTGCAGGCTAAGTAAGCTCAATTGAGCTGCTTCCCCAACCTCCATGGGTCTGTTTTTAATAAAGGATTGCTCCACAGTTCCATGCATGTAACCCTTTGACTGCAATGAGAAATTGCTTCTCAGCCAAAGAGCTTGAGAGCTTA